CGGGGCTCAATCCACTATCGAGATTCTAAGGCAGGTGATTGACCAAGAAGGCTACCACGAGATGGTCGAGATGTTGTTTGAGAATGTGAGAGATGTGGGTTTCGCATCTGCTGGTGCTGGAAGATCTAAAGAAAATCCTCATGACTACAGGAATGCAGAATACAGCCGAAGTGCCGAATCTGTACGCCAGCGATGAAGTGGAGAAAATACTGGGGTCGTGCGTCCGTTGCGCAGCAAGTTGGAAAGGTTACTCAGAAGGATATCTTGCAGTACTACGTCATCTTAGTGCGTGATTGGCCGGCGCTGGATTCTGGATCGATGTCGTATATTCCCTTCCTTAGGGAATTGCTGTACCATTGACTGGTTCAATGCGTGGCCGTAAGATGCTGGCTAATCTTTTCTTCGCGTACCAATACCGGGGAGCTAGGGATTGAAACTCACATGGATACATTGTGTCAAGTGGCAGTGATAATGCAGCGCAGTGTTGAAGAAGCTACTCAAAGGTTCTATTAGCAGTTTAAACCCCGTAACTACATAACGCCAACGGGTTACTTGGACGGATTCGGCTGTATGTGGATATGGTGCGTACCCACCACCGTCAGCTTGTACGTGCTAAAGAAGATCGATTCCGCGATGGGTTGCAGAAACTCACTGACACGGGGTAATTTGAAGATTTCACTGACGGAGCTTCAGCCTGTGTTGGATAAAGCTAAAACAAGACAATTCTGAACTGCTGGAACAAGTGGCAACGGCTCAGGCGGAAGTGATAGGCAGCAGCAACTCATTCAAGCGGACAAAGACAAATTTTGGTTCCACATCACCACGAAACTTCGGGTATGGAAGATGATCTTCACTGTTGTGGACTGTCATTTGCTCCGACTTAAGCGCAGTGCAATCTTAACTTGGCTTTTCGACGCAAAGAAGCTACTCTTGCTCTAGCTCTCAGTTCTACGTCTCGTTGCGCCGATACCCGGGCTTCGACCAAATTCAGGCGGCTTGCTGTTGCGTCTTCTGACGTTTGTTGTTCCTGATCTTTAAAGAGATTTGGTTGATAACCGGATTGACGCAACGGAATTGATTCCACGGGTGTGTAAGGTTGTTGCTCACACTGGGGATCATCGTATGAGACTTGATTTTTTTTCGGTTGGGGCACTCGCTTCTCTGATAGTCCCGGTGTTGTCGAATACATTTTGTCGTTCAGTTGGATGTGTGCTTGATTTTCACTACCTGTAGCGACATTACCGGGTTGCAGGAAAGCCATAGTATCCCCCTGATTGAGCGCCGAGGTCGGTTTACCTAAGTTGGGGATTACGGAAGCAAGGTATTCGTGGACTTCTGACTTTGCTTGTGTCAGAGAATGTTGAATCTTGTTTTCGAAAATATCGTGCCTGGTCAGGAGCTCAGTTGTTGCTGCCGCTACTATTTCGATCTTCTCAGTCATCCCTGCAAGTGCTCCTTCAGTCTTATCAAGTTCTTGAGCATGGGCTTCGACCAGCTTTTTCTGCAGCCGCTCTTCCATCATTGTGCAATAAATCTCCGCATGCGATCCCACGATAGTCTCAATATTGTCATGCCACCGATGTTCGACCTGGCGCAGCTTTGAATCGGTTTGCAGTTGCCCGTCCGACTGTTGCTGATCAAGTTTGGACTGAATTCTAGCTTCAATTCCGCGGGCGTTCGTCTCAATCCGTTTCTGAGTAGTTTGAAGTTGCAATTGCAGTTGGTGAGCAATATCTGCAACCTGCTTAGTTGCTTCTGATCGCATAGTGCTGGTAGCGGCGTCTAGCTTTTGCTGTAGCCGTACTTCGATATTGGAGACTTGCTGCTTGGTATAATAACGTGCATCGTTCAGCGTTTCTTTAAGTCTGGTATCGGTATGAGCTGTCAGGGATGCTACCGAGGCTTGTGTCTTAGCTTCTGCCTGCTCAAACCTATTCTTCAGTTCTGTCATTATCGACGAGTTCGCCAGTG